TGTTACTACAGCACTGGTACAAACAAGTCCTTGCAAACAAGTCCTGGCACAGGAGCAGAATCTATTGCCATATCATAGGAGCACGGGATATCGACAAAAGCCCATTCCTACAGCCCAAAACTACAGGCCCAAAACACCCTATAAAATCCCTATAATGGAGTATGGAGAGAGAGCAGGGGAGACAAGGGCTCCACCCAAGTTGTGTGTGTATAGGGAAGGGGATGCCCCTAGTGGGCTCTGATTTGTGCTGAGAGTTTGAGAATAAAAAGTGTTTTAGAGAAAGCAAGAGAGAAAGAGGAAGAAAAAAAAGAGCAGCTGCTGTTTGAGCCTGATTTCAGGGACCTTTCACATGTGAGGCAAATGTGATGACCACTACACTACAGAAGCAGGGTGTCCCTGTGCATTATATCAGAGCTGTTACCCCACTCCCCAAATAATAAAGCTTTTCTCTTTTCCTTGTATAGCTTGGGTGGCACCCATGTCCAGCCCACTCCATATTATTCCATATTGTTCTTCCAACCAGGATTCATTGCACTGTCTTGAATTTACTTGCCTGACAAACCAACATGGCTCTGCTCAGGGATGCCCCATGCTGGATGAGAGCTCCAAATTGCCACTGTGCTTGGCACAGGGGAGGATCCTAAACAGTTGGACTGATAGGAGTTTGCCAGTCATGAGCAGAATGTTGCAAAGAAGAGAGATGACAGACAAGAGACAGAGCCACGAGCAAGGAAGTAACCAAGGAGCACCATAGGGTGACATGCTCCCTCTGCTTTTGCAGCTGGGTTAGGTAAGTTCATAATGGGACTGACTAATTTCCAGCCCTTTGGTGGGTGTGCCTGCTCCCCTCTGCTCAGGATTTCCTTGCCCTTAACTCCCTTCAACTAATCCCATAACAAAGCAAAGTCTCAGCACGCAGGCCTTTTCTTATTCAGAGAACATTCCTTACAGCTGAAACCCCCTTCAGAACCATGGACTCCAGCATGCTAGGCTCAGAGAAAGGAATGGATTGTAGATTGTGATGTTGCTGTTGTTTGGAAGGAAATAGACTACAGAGCTACAGCTTGCCAGTCACATAGCCAGGTTGTGTGTGTAGCAGGCTTGCCTTTTGGAGCTTGGGTTGAGTCCCAGGCTTGAAATCTTGCTGTTTTGATTGGTGGAGCTCATCCCCCAATCAGGAGGCAGCAAGAGGAATTCAGTCATGCCCCTTTCCTGAGGGGTGGGGGAGACGAGTGTGGACCTGATTGAAGACTGCAACACTCAGGTCTGGAAGACTTCAGGAGTTGAGCCCTGGAGCGTATAAAAGGAGCTGTGTGCCCAGTATGAGGGGAGCACATCTGGGAGGGAAAAGAGAGAAGAGTGGGGCTTAGAAGAGCTGAGGAGAGCTGCTCAGCAGGGTGAAGCAGTAGCCCAGAAGTGCCCCTGAAGACTTCCATCAGTGGGGAATGGCAGATAGCTCCAGCAGCTAGGCTCTCGGTGTGCAGCACAGCACATGGCATCCAGACCTTGGGAGCTGCGCAAGGCGGCTCACGTCTGCAACCTCTGATGTGCGGCCAGAGACATGGTGCACAAGACAGTGCACAGAGTAGGACCTTTGGAGTGCTTGGGTGGCTCAGGTCCTCAACCCCCGGAATGAGGCTGGGAGCTCGGTGTAGGAGGTGCTGCACAGAGGGTCCAGGAGCGAACCGAGCCTGGTGCTGCACGAGGCAGCCCAGGCCTCCGACCTATAGCAAAAGGTTGAGTCCAGAGAGCCAGACGGTGATCGGGCTACCGAGCCAGCCAACAGGGCCAAGCCAGAGGCCCCAGAAGCCCTGCATAGTGGAGCCCTGTTCCAGGGGACAGCGACCACCCTGAAGCCCACTGCAGGCAAGAGAACAGCCTGGCACAGAGGACGAGGACCACCCTCCAGGCCTGGGAGCCATGAGTTGCAGGGAAAAGAGGATTCCCACAGGGGAGGGGGAGTCCCCCCTGGTTAGTTAACAGCTCCTGAAAATGGAGGTTCCACTGAGAAGGTCTCCCCTAAAGTTACCAGCTTCTTTGTAGGACTTGGGAAAAGCCCAAGGGCATTGAGGTTTCCCCTCAGGATTGAGTTTATCTTTGGGGTTTATCTGTTTCAGATCAGATACTTGCCTGTGATTTACCTGTATCTGGAGCACTGGTATAAGTTTTTGTCATTTACCCAGAGGGTATTGTTTATATTACTAGTTTAGATATCTTATAAATATATATACATTGTACTTATGTTTGTATCCATGTTCCTTCCCTTGTGATAAGTTAATGTAAATAAATGTGTATATAGGTAACTGTCCTGGCCTGGTTCTACAGAGACGGAGGGAAACTGAGCAGTCTGCAGTTCCCACCCCACAGCACACCTGCCAGTTAACAATCCCCTTCAATTGGAGAAGGAGAGTATATACCCAAGTTACCTGGGCTACATGTGTTTTTGCAGATTACACTGCCTGTTTTTCAAACATCTGAACCGAATCAAGCCTTAGACTCCTCATTCAATGAGGGACAGTCTTCCAGGATCAACCCTTAGGTGCAGTGCCTGGAAAAGGCACTGGGACTGGATCTGGTTCCCCCAGTGGGAGCCAGCTCAGGAGGCATTTGTGCTGGGTAGGCACTCCCTTCCCTTTCCACACTCCCATGCACTGCTACACCCCTAGCTGCAGCCCCCTTCATTGTCATATTCACCTCTCAGAGGAGCCAGAGTGCCTGGGACAGGCTGAGCTCTGCAAGCCCTACTTGGGGCTGGGGCAAGGCTTGGTGCTACCCGGAGCCTCCCCACAGGCCTCAGCTTCTCCTAGAAATGCTGCCAGAGCCACGGGGAGGGGGAAGCTGCTGTGGCACAAGGGCCGGGGCTTTCCCAGAGCGTCTCGCGGGACCACAACTTCTTCCCTTCCCTCCATGCTGCTCAGAGCCTGTCCCAGGGGGACAGTACAGCCACTAGGAGCCCCTTGCCCCCCATGTCGGGAGCTCTGCCTGCTGCCTCCACTGTCCTGCTTGTGGCCCAGTGGGGCAAGTGCTGTGAGGGCTGGGGCAGGGCTGGCAGAAAGGCACAGGCACTTGTGTCCTCACAGAAGTCAGCCACGGGCTCCACAGGGCACTTGGTGGCTCCCGCTCAGAAGAAGCATGAGGCCAGGCTGAAGGAGCCTGGATGGGAGGGGGCTCCAGTCCATGTGGGCTGGCGGGGACGGAGTGGGGAAGCATCCTCTTGCCCTGGTGCTGGAGCCAGCGGCTCTCAAGATCCATCTCCTCTGCTCCCATGTCCCGCTAGCAGGAGCCAAGTCCACTCTCCCACCTGCCCCGCTCAGGATGCCTGGCCCCAGCCCCACGGAGGGCTGCCCTGTGGCTGAGCAGGTTGATTGCCCCTGTGACAGAGTCGAGCACCGAATGTCCCACAGGGCCTATCGTCCTGGTCATTGATGACTCTGAAAGTCATGCTAAGCTGGGGCTTACTCACAAAAATTAAAATACAAATACTGATGCCAGCTACATAGTGCAAGAGGTTGTGAGTTCCTGGCTAGGCCATCTAAGAATAAATAATGGGATACCCCTTCCAGCTTATTTTTCTATATTCATAATAATTTCAAGCAGGCTTCTAGTTGTCTGGTACGTAACTGTGAAATGTCTATCCTTGATTAATTAGTGTGAGAAATATTTCTTTTGCAGTTAACTCATGTTATGTACAGAAAGAGATACGTATTCCTCATATGTGATAGGTGTCTCCTCCTGGTTTGCTTCTATTTTGGCTAGCAGTTCCTTTGATTTTTCCAAGGACACTCCCCAAAACCTTGAATTTTTCCTGGTTGTTAATCAGTTTCTTGGTATGTTCCAAACTTCGTAGAAATGGATAACCTCTCGTAACTAAGGAAGGTAATTCATTCAAATTGGTGGATGATGCATTCCTTCAACAGGTAGCAGAAGTTTCCCAATCACCCTGAAGCACCATAGACAAGAGGACAGAGGAAGGGGTAGACAGTAAGGAAATCTGTAGGTAGGCAGCCATCCTTGAAGAAGGCAAACACTGCAGGGAGCTCCCACCTACCCGGTCATGTCATAAGAGGAAATTCAACGGATGGCAGTTGGGTTGGAGAAGGGAATAAAACAGGCCTCCGAGTGCTCTCCACTGTGGGGTGGCTGCCTGGGACTCTGATTCCGGAAAGACAGGAAAGCAGAGAGCTTCATTGCCTCCAAAAGGGGAAAGTGTCTTGTGTTCAAGACACATGGCTTAGGTACTGGTGGTCTAGCAGTGGCAGTGGCTTCCAAGAAAGGAATGCTGTCATCAAGTCTGGCTTTAAGAAGGTGTCCCCATAATTACTATTCTCAAAGTTGGGAGACATTGCTCAGATGCCAGCTGACAAGAGTTCAGTTAAATCCCTTGACCATGTGACAACTCTGAACATTTACCAGTCCCATCCCCAGGCCCACCGTGTTTTGTGTCCAGCTTTTCCCCTGCAGATCTAGTGAGCACAGGTCCAGATTTCTCACAGATCTTGAGAGCACCTTTCAGAAGCTGCTGGCTTTTGGTGCTACTCTTTTGCGGTTAAGCAGGACATGTCAGCCTGACAGATCACTGAACTCTTCAGGAACATGCTCAGCTGTGCTGGGACTCTGCTCAGGTCAGCCCAGTGATGCACGGGGGGTAGGGAAGGGGTTTGACCCCCACTCAGATTAGCACAGGCTGCAGCGAGGGGTGTGGGTGGCCTCCTTTGCTGTGGAAGCTCGGTCTTCTCTCGCCTCGGAGCTCCAGAGCACGTTTTAACCAGCTCCTCCCTGGCCTTGTCTGGAGGGTTCAGGCAGGGCTGATCCTGCCCTGAACAAGGTCTGGACCAAATGAACCCTCCTGAGGGCCCTGCCAGGACTCTGAGATCCAGGGGGTCCCACCCCGGCCTGCTGCACACCCTGAAGCCCCATGCCCGTGGCTCCCCCATGGCGTTAACACTGTGGGACAGACTCCACTTGTGCTTGCACACCTTGGGCCCAGTCAGAGGCCTGTGGGTGGGACAGCAGGTCCAGCCCATGCTCCCTGCCCGACAACCATGTGCAGGGCTGGACACAGGCTGCTTTGTGATGTAGGTCCCATGTCACTCGTTCGCCATGGAAACCAGGGATGGGCAGGGAATAAATCCTAGCCACCCGTGCTCTCTGGCCAGTCTCAGCGCAACCTGAGAGACTCCACCAAGATATATAGAGAATTAGTTATTTGGCTAGAGTTAGACATAGAAGGGGTGATAGATTAGAGATAATAGAGTAGATAGTAGATAGAGCAGCTAGGAGTAGAGATAGTATAGATAGGTATTTAGAGTAGAGAAGATAGAATAGGTGATAGGTTATAGAAAATGATAAGTAAGGAGGACCGAGGGCAGTGGCCCCAGCTGAGCAGCAGGGTGAGTGATCGGAGGAACGAGTCCCAGCTCCAGCCCCAAAAGGAGCGTCATCCTGGTGGCGGAGACGACGCATGCTGTTGCTCAGACTGGAGCTTGGGTCTTCGGAGCCTCGCAGTCCCAGCGCCTGGCTGCTCACTCCATCTCTCTCTCTCCATTTCAGACCAGCTGCTCCAACCTGGACAGCAGGGAGGCACGGCCAGGACACTGCCCGGTGTGGGTAAGGGCCCAGCAACACCTTGGGGTTTTGCAATGAGGTGAAAGGCTGGCATAGGAGTAGGAAAGGGTACTCTGGTGGCATGAGGGGACGTATGCTAGCACTACGGGATGGGGATGGTTTTTCCCCGCTCCCTGCGCTCTCAGCTCTGCTGTCTGGGGAACACTCGGACGGAGTGGCCCTTTCCCCCAGCACCTACCTCTGGGTCGGGGCTGAGCGCGCCAAGAGCTGGGCGCAGAGTCAGCACGGGGGTAGACGGGCCCGTGGTTTCCCTGTGGGTGCATGGGGTGGACTGCAGGAGTCCCAGGGGGCTTTCTGCTCAGCATGGCTTCTCCTCCAGTTCCCCCAGCTGCACAAGCAGAAGAGCCCTCGGGTGCTGCCGGCTCTCCAGCCTCCTCCCGGCCACCCTGGGCCACCCCAAAGACCTGTCTGGGTGCGGGCTCCGCTCCGTTTATACCCACCATGCCGCACAGAAGACGGAGAAGATGTGGGAAGAGGTGACATGCCCAGGGACAAGACCCAGGTGAGTGGCTGTGAGGCACTGGCAGAGCCGTGCCCTGCGCCTGAGACAGGGCAAGGATGACTTGCTGACTATGGGGTGACATGGGGCTGCTGGAGCTCTTCCCACCCCTGCCTACTTCCTAATGAAGCAGGGACCCCAGAGCCACAGCCTCTGCCTGCACCTTGGGGAGTGGGCGTGGGGGATGAACCGCACCCTGAGTCCTGCCCTGTACAAACACTGGCCCTGGCCATGGGAACTAACCCAGTCCTGGCCCAGGCTTCCCTGTGCCCTGCCCTAGCTGAGCAGCCTGAAATCCTCTCCTCAAAGGGCCCTGGGTCCCCAGGCACCCTGAGAAGCCAGGCTAGGACTCCTCTGGCTCCTGCCTCTGAGCATTTCCTAGCATTAGTACCTCTGGTATCTGTCAGATAGAGAAGGGGAAACTGAGGCACAGATTATGGATGGTTTTGTCCGCAGGCCCCTGGTTTGTGGACACGTATGTGCTTGCAGGGTGGTAGCATGGGCACACCCATGTGCCCTGAGGAGGAGTCTCAGGTACACAGGTGTCCATCAGGTGGGATGTGTGGGGTGGAGCATATACTTGTGTACATGTGCCCATGAGCCCATGCTGGTGGCTGGCATGTGTGTGCAGATGGGTAGGGCTATGTCCCCAGCAGGCACTCACTGTTCCCTGCGCTGACCCCCCCGTCT